CATTAATTCAACGGACTGTAGTAAACAGATAAATGGAGGCAGAAGATGTCTTTCAGTCATCAGCACCTGTCCCATATACCAGGAATCAGAAATACTCTAATAATCCCAGGGAGGGATTACTTTAGTTACATTACTCCATCTGTGATAGAGTGACTATAGGACCAGTTTGATAGAACACTGTTTCATACGATATATATAATTAGGGCGTCCCCGCTCCATCTCGCCATCAGTTTGGGGTCCTTGGCCTGGAAAACTTTGAAGACTTAGAAGATTGGATCCATCCTGGTATCAACAGTCCAGGCTGGTGGTGGCATCATGGTTTGGGTGACGATCCCGACACCATCTGGACCCGTCAGAAACACCTGAGCATCACTGCTGTCCAACTCCATCCCCATCAGGACCCCAGTGGACCCGTCTTCTGATGGTTCCTTCCATCATGGATGTTCTGCCAACAAACCTGCAGCAGCTGTGAGGCTCCCATGTTAGTTTGGACCAAATGAAAAGGTCTGAATCCTTGTTGGATCTACGCCATGAAGAGTTGAGGGTGTTCTGAGCCAGTAAGAGAAAGGTGCACCTAACAAAGTGGGCAGAGGGTGATTAAGTGACTAAGATAAGGAAACGTCCATCATGTTGAGGAAGGAGAGGAGGAGGCATTCAGGAAAGGAAGGAAGAGTTCAAGAAGGATTCCTGTAGGAGGTGGAGATGTTTCTCATGTTTCGTACGTGTCATTAACATGTTTCCCCTGGTTGTTGGCGACACTTCCTGTCGCCCATCTCCTCAGGCCCGGTGTGTGTGTGTGTGTGTGTGTTACCTCTACAGAAGAAGTCTGTTCCTCTGTGTGTGTTCTGCCCTCATGTCCGCTCCTGCTCTCTTCCTCTTCCACTTTCTCTCTCTCTCTCTCTGTACCTTCAGCCAGTGTCCCTCGCCCAGAGATACGGCCGGTCAGAGTTCATTGTGTGTTTGTTTAAGGCGGTACCAAAACCGAACCGCTTCCTTCTGATTGGCCCATTCAGCCGTCCATCAACAACAAACTAATAAACAACGTGTCACATGAATTTATCTGGGAAGGTGAGGATAGAGGAGGCGAGGAACCAAGGAAGGAGAGCAGGAGGTTATTACAGGAGATGAAGGATCTGAGGAGTCATCCTCTGAGCTGAGGAGCTTTTAAAGCAGCCAAAGTCCAAAGAAAACCAGATCCAGAGTTCTAGAATGGCAGGGAGGTGACAGAGATTATTAAACCTGAGATCACCAGAACCTCTGATTCTGACAGCGCTCGGATGAGCTTGTCTGAAGGAAGCAGTCAGTAATTAACTGGATCCACAGAGGGGGGTTCCTGTGGGAGTGGACTCAGTGGGTCAACATTCGGACGTAACAGCATCTCTGCGCCGTGACCTCATTAGTTCTGTCCAGATCTGTCTAACCTAGTTTTCCTCTCGTCACCTCGATGCTGCTCGACTTTCCAGCCTCTCTGAGGAAGCCGGCACCAAACGAAGCTCCAGTTTACAGCAAACGACCGGAGTCGGGTTCTACAGGCCCAGCGGACCGCAGCACACATGGTCCCACACATGGACAATTAATGTCTTTGTGGTTGGACTCGGTGCTGCCCCAACTTGTTGCTCACCACATACCAAAATAAATAGTTTTTCCAGATGATGCAAAGTTAAATTTGACACTGTTACCATTAGTTATAAAACTAAGAAACGTTTAAGAAGGTTATTACCCAGAATTGTAGAGAGATGTCCCTTTAATAGGGTAGAGCAGTAAATGTTCTGTCCTTCACATTTTTTACTACATTTCTTTTACTTTTATGCTTTAAGTAGTTTTAAAAATGGCACATTTACTGTAACTGGAGTAAAAAGCTTCTACAAAAGTATTTTTAAACAGCAGGATTTATACTTCTACTGGAGTGGCAGTCTGTGGGAGTGGGGGGATTGAATCATAAGGTTGAGTTCGATCCCCCACTCTGCCACTCTGGGTCCCTGAGAAAGACCCTTAACCTCACACTGGTCACCGGGCGCCGCAAAAGGGCAGCCCTCTGCTCTCCTTAGCAGACTGATGAGGAGGAGAAGCGGCCCTACAATGAGCCTCCTCTTGGTGGCCGAGCTTCTCACCCCGTCTCTAAGGAAGAGCCCAGCCCCCCTGCATAGAAAGCTCATTTCAGCCGCTTGTATCCAGGATGTCGTCCTTTTGGTCATGATCTAGATTTCATGACTCAGCAGAGACGCCCTTTTGGCTCACGCCGCTTTTTCACCACAACAGACCAACATCTCAGAATTCAAAATGTGAAATGATGGTATTTATGTATATATAAAAGTATAATTAAAACCTTTGCAAATTTAAGGATTTTCTCCTTAAATTGAACATCCTGCACCTGGACCGCTGACTGCAGACAGTATCATCTCAGTGTATGAGAATGTTCTCGGTGGGTCGGACCCCCGCAGCCTACCGCGAGGCAACCGTGTGCGATCTCAGCAAAGGCGACACAAAAAAAGGACAGAAGGGGGCCCAAGGGCCAGGGCAGAACTCAGAGCGGGAACCAGAAATCAGAACCGTTTGCAGGGAGGAGATAGCAGAGAGGGTCGGCTTTATTTTGAAATTGAATGAATAATGATTTAAAAAAAGGGACACAAAAAAGGGGACAGTTTCTGGACCCCTGGACCAGAGAAGCCTTCTTTGGACATGCCTTCCACCAGGTGGAAGTCCCTCCAGTGCAACGGATCCAAAGACAGCTGGGAGTCTCTGAGCCAAACCGGACCAGGGTAAGAGATGTGAATGATTCTTGTAGAAGTGGAGGGAGTGTTGGCCTGGTGCTTAGAGCAGTGCACTTGTGCTCGGAGAAGGTTGCAAGGACCCTGTTCGATTAACCTGACTCCGCGAATATGCGGAGCAAATCCATCTGGAAACCTTCCGTTGAAGTAATTTTGGGAAGGGGCGAAAATACTGGTTAGCTGATTGGCCTATGTTGGTGATAGACGGGCCAAATAAACCAATCAGATCAACGAAGCATATGACGTACTAACAGAGCGACGACGAAGAGGAGCCAATTGATAGATCAAACTCTTGCTGAAACCAGTCGGGAGAAGAGCAAAAACATCTTTTCCTCTGAGAAAAGCCTCCAGAGCAGTGTTTTGCTCTTCTTTCAGTGAAGAAATACTCTGTAATTCCCATAAAACTTGCTCGATAGCCACGCTAACACTAGTTTCATCGGCTGAA